TGTCTAAAATGGATTGGGATTTAAGATATTTTTAGTTTTCTGTAATCCTTGTCTGTGCATCAAAACATCACATAAAGATGTTATTAGGAGCACAGCCTGAGTATCCATTTTACATTGTAAGTGTTTATCGCCTGCCGACAGCTCTCAGGGTCCCCGATGCTCGAGTGTCTGAAAGCCTTTCTTCTTCCTTTGATGGACTGGGTCCTTACAGCCTACTCCATGCTTGCCTATCTGCCATATGGTGTGCTGGTACAAGAAAAGAGCTCGGTTGCAACTGCATTTTTAGCCAGCCTACATGGAGGAAAACCTCTAAAGAACCCTCTTCTCTTTTAAGATTGATGAAGCACTCTGAAAGTTCTCCACACACCCACACCACTCATTCCATCCTGACAAAAATAGCTTAATATGTTTGTGCGTTTATGTTGTAAACATTGTTTGTTTACTATTATTACAGATACCTCGACATGTAAGCATTTTTATCTCGCTGATGATCTTTTTTTAAGATAAATATTCTAAAATAAAATCTATTCTGCAAAGTGAAAATAAAAGTAGAATAATGTAGTGGAGTAGAAGTATAGAAAGTTGTATTACCTAAATATTGTACAGTAATCGAGTAAATAGTAATAGTAGAATTTTCCATACCGGAAAATAGATTGTTCGTATATAAAGTGTTAAAAGTTTGAACAAATAGATTTGTGCCAGCTTAAGAGAGCAAAGAAACAGTATGTGTTTCAGTATATGAATAGTAGTCAAGGCTAACACTGATATACACTGTGGGTGTTATCAAAGTACATTTTAGAAGAGCATGCTTACTTAACATAACTTAGATAGTCGGGGTTTTTTTAAAGACACGTGTCATACAAAAGGTATCTGTTAACACCTGTGATCAATGGTGCAGGTCTGACTTTGAAGACCTGCTTTGTTGTTCAGTCATGCTGGTTTAAAACCCGTGGAGCCCGCGGGCCCCGTCTATCTCCTGAAATGTTTTCACCCTGCGGACAGGCATCGCGACATTTCAGCTGCCGCTTCAGCGGAGCCGTCCACTTGTGCAGCTGTTCTCGCGATGAAAGGTTTACAGCAAAAGTGTTAATTAACGTGCCCAAAACTAAAGCGGTTTCAGAGAGTCCTGCAGACTCAGCACAGAACACCCACTGTAAAAACTTACTGTCCTTCGTTTAGAGTTCATCAATTAGCCTCCTACCGCAGATAGCATTGACTTAATGAGCCGTTACTTTAACAAGAATATTGCTTCCCTTTTTACCCAAATTAATGAGGCCGCTAATTGTCCCAATTTGCGAATGAAACCCCGGCATTAAGATTTGTCTCTTTGCGCACGAGAACCACCTCCGTAGCTCCGGGTGTGTGGGCATAATTACAGAGCAGCCTGCTCCCAACATCAAGAGGTTTACTGTTCTTTGGTGCACGACTGTGTGACTGTTTGGGGAAAGATGGAAACGCTCTATTGTTGCGAAATTAAGGAGTCTTTAATTAAAACACTAAGGAGACACAAGGCAAAACGGTGGCTCACTGTATAGACCAGTCAGATGTTTCCTCGGCGTGTCATTGTAGAGTTAAACTCATGAAAACCTAATGTTTGTTATTTTATATTCATATATGATTAAAACAATCTTATATAGTAAGGATGGGAAGATTGGGTTGCAAGGACTTAACACTATAACATTGAAATACACTTGAAATGACTATGTGTCTTTATGTTTCGGCAACTAATATTTAAACTCACATCAAAAGCCATCTTTGAGAATATTATTATGTTTACATTCAAGTAGTTTACTCATATATTAATGAAACCGTGCCTGGGGAGAGTCATCTTGGTCCCTTTGGTTTTATGGGTCCATTATTTCCAAATAATTTTCGAGTCATTTTCCTGGAATTAACTATGAAATGCTGAATATTATTATGGTGTTCGATGACAATCAATTCATTCAAATGAACTATCAAAAGAATGAGCAGGTCAGGTGAACTTTATTTAAACACGCAATACAACTCAACATATGGTGAATAAATGAAAAACAAATGAATGTTTAAAGGGACCAGTTCTTTTGAGAAACTTCCAATTTTCCCCTACAATTATTTGTTCCTTGGCAAATTATGACACAATTACAGACCGATCAATTCAGAGCGTTGCCTTAATTTCTGACGGTTGATATGGATGTATTGTCGCTCTTATAATGCCGTAATGTCATGAACAGGTGGACAAAGAAACAGATACACGACACTTCAAAAATAGAGTTGAATTAATTATAGATCGCTTGGGGCCGTGGTTCCCCAACTGTGGCTCCCCAGGGATAATTGAGGAGCCTTTAAGGCGGCAGCCTCCCCGGTGAAATGACGACTGCTTTAATTCCACCATTAGGCCTGCTTCATTTACTAGAAATTAGAACAATGGGACAATGTATTGTGATTGGAACTGTCTCCATTATCAGTCCACGAGGAAGCCACCAATGTGTAATGGACCAAGTGTTTTACAGCTGCAAGCAAACTTGGCTGAGAGGCAATTTGTACTCACAGTTACAAGCACCTACAGAGTGCGCTGTAATAACTTCAGGTGGTTAATAAGAGCTGAGCAGCAGCTGTGGATGGAGTATGCATGCGTAGACACGAGAGGGTGCTGCTGTTGGCTGGTTGGGTTTGAATAGTTTTGTTCGGGAGGGTAAACTGTTGGGACGGTTGCCAGGTTCCATCACCAACGTCAATCCGGCAGCTGCGGACTGCAAGTTGTCTGCGGTGCTCCGGTTGCCAAGTTTGGTGACATATTGTGAAACCATCATCGGCTATAAACTGAGATGTGAGGTTGCCGAGGCATTTTGTGCCAAGATAGTTTGCTGTTTGGCATCAGGTGACGTCGTGACACCTACAGCCTAAACCTGAAAGGCTCTCCAAAGAGCCACTTGAAGGGGGAAAAAACACGCAGATCCTCACTGTGAACAAATGGATCCGACTTGTTTACACGCTGCTACAAGATTTATTTGAGAGCCAATAGGTTACTTTGCAGATTCAACATACAGTTTGCAAAATATGACCTTACAAATGAATGGACTCAACAATATTTAAAGCAGTTAAAATTAGCTATAGCTACCAACCAATACATAAAAATGCTACTTACACGTGAATGCATCAGTATTAAAAATAGAATATTATATTTTGCTGTTGAAATTATTATATATATATTATTATAAGATTTTTAAATGCAGACTATACAAGTATACCACAAAGTATGGACATCACGCACAGTCAACTCTTGCACTCATAAGGGAGGGGGTGGGTTTTGCCTATATGGCCAAACACTGATCAGCACTGAAAAGTTGCCATAACTCGCCAGTTGACCCTCCCCTCCCCTCCCCCGCCCGGTGGGGGCACATCAGTCTCTTTCTCGCAGGAGGTCAATAAGCTGACCCTAGAAATGTTCCTCACACCTCCTCGGCCCTCCGCTGCCACTCCCCCCGCGCACGCCCCGCAGCAGATGGGAAGTGTAGCACGCATTTTTAAATCCTGCACGCAGGGTTGCAGGCTGTTGCGCTGGCAGAGGGGCTGAAGGAATGAAATATTCATGTAGCCCCCCCAAAAAAAATGAATGGACACCCCGGGACGGAGAGCGTGCCGATTTATTCAAGTAAGACCAGGCCTCATTAAACTGCTGGCGGCGAGGCAGGTCACGGTGATTTTCTTTACCAGTGCTCGACCCCGACTCTCACACACACACACACACACACACACACACACACACACACACACACACTCCACAAACAGAGAAGAGGAGGCGAGAGGGGCACTGAATGCAAAGTTTGTCCAACTCGCCGTCATTGCCACATCTCAGGTCTCCCCCCGGACAGTTCCGCGCGGATGCTGGAACGGTTCCTCTCGTGTAATTGATGACCTAATGAGTGATTAGCTCTCGTGTCAGAGCACTGAGCGTTGTGAAAGCCGCGCGCGGCATATGGGAGACGAGGGTGACACTGTTGTGACTGGAGGTGTGTATATGAGGTGCCAGGGGACACCAGCTGATAGGCACGGGGGGGCCACGTGACTAATCAAAATACATTCACCCGACTAGATTTGGTCACAGTTAGTAAAATATAATAATAACATTAGAAGAAGAAGAACGATGAAACTGCCTGCACTGTGACGTATGCATGTTTTGACCATCGCTTCACGCGCTAAATGATTCATGAATTGCCTTCAGACAACTTATCAGTTATCATCGGGTATACAGGTGTGTCTCAAGCCTTGCCTTCCACCTGTTCGTTTTATTATTCTTCAGCAAATAATGCGAGAAAGATTGCCCACAGTTTTACTGTTTGTTTGAGGACAAACCTCAACGCCGCCAGATCCTTCAGGGGGGTCAGACCCAATAAAGGAGTCGGAGAAAGTGCACTGCAAGTCAAATTTACACAATATCTGCTGAATTTGGCTTTTTAAATAAATATTAACCTCGTCAAATCATACACAATAACGCGTGTAAAACGATTAATTCAGGGGGGGGGGGGGGAAATGAGAAAACTTTAAAAGTCCAAGCTAATAAACGAACAGTTTTGGCATGCGCACTTGTTACTGTATTTATTTCTAGGAGACCTCAATAACAAAGCCGACAGACGCAGCCCGGACTTTACTGAACAAGTCCATTAGATCATCCTCTCCTAAACTTTTGAATGCACGCTCTTAAATGATTAATACTTTGGGCACCCCTCTGTGCGATCGTGATTGAGTTACAATGCACAATAGGAGGAAAAAAAGTCGAGCTTTGTCTAATTGTTCGTTGACAGGGTCAGAGGGGACTGTGCGATTGGCTGCTGCCTCCTGAGGCTGCGGGCTGTCGGGTGGCTGGGAGTGACACCTAGGTGACTCAAGGGAGGCTGTATATAAACTGCATGGCGCAGTGCAAACCCCATTCCAGAGGAAGAGGGCATCAGACAGAGTCTTTTCTGCTGCGTGACCTTTTTTTTTTTTTTTGCTGCCGCGCACGACCACAGGCCCTAGCAGCGATGACTGCAAAAGCAGAGCTTTCGAGCTGGCCGGAGTACCCCGAGGATTTCACCCTGCTGCAGCAACGCAACCACCTCAACTCCAAAACTTGGATTTCTTCTCATTCCCTCCACGCGTTCTCCAGGAGGGACGCGCACGGAGCCGCAGACGCGGGCCTCTCATTGGAGAAAGTTCCCGACTGCGTGTCCTCCGCGGGCTTCACCGAGACAGACTCGGACCAGGCAGCGGAAGAAGAAGAAGGAGGAGGAGGAGGAGGAGGAGGCCAGGTGAGCCACTTTGGCCCGCTGAAACACAGGCGCGTCGCAGCCAACGCCAGGGAGAGGAGGAGGATGCACGGCCTGAACAAGGCGTTTGACGAGCTGAGGAGCGTCATCCCCTCGCTGGCGAACGAGAGAAAGTTGTCCAAGTATGACACCTTACAAATGGCGCAGATTTACATCAATGAGCTGTCGGAGTTGCTGACCGACGTGGTCCACCCGGAGTGCACGAGTCCCCGTCCGGGCTCAGCGGACAAGAACTCCATGATGAGTCTGATTCACTCTCTGCGGCCAAATCAATCAATGGGTTCTTCAAACAGCAGCGATGGGGAATCTTCGCACCTCAGTGACATGGAGGAAAGACATTAACAGAGAACCACTGACTTATTCTGCAGTGTCCAAATATTGCAGCTTGTAGAAATGTTGATCATACATGATAGGCATATATATATATATATATATATATATATATATATATATATATATATATTCACCTGTCATTTTTGATATAGCTTAGATGTTGCACTGCCAATGAAAACCACCGACTGAAATCTTGAATTTTTTTACTTGCTAAGGTCATGGTGAACTCTCAGAGGTCTTTTTAAAAAATGCACTTTATGGCCTGAATCATCACTAAAGACATTAGTGTCATTAGTGACATTTGCCTAAATTAAAAACAATTATTTTGGTATTTATGTATAGCTACGGGGTATTTTGAGGATTGTTTTGCTACAATAAAGATATACTTAAGATGTGTGTGCATTTGAAGTTGTTTTTGTGTATTGCATTTTTTTGGTCAGCAATACATTTCAGTGTACTGAGTTAGTCAATATGTCTCCCATGTGAAGCAGACTGAAGCGCCCATGTCCAAAATACAGTTGCTGCTAAACGTATGATTTGCATGAGACAAAACCCACTTGTTCTCTTTAAGAGTGTTTAGGAGAAGAAGAAAAAACGTGAAATACAAAAAGCTAATCCCAAGATGTTGTTTAACTCACTGAATGTAACAAGGACATATTATTTTCAAAGCTATTTCCATAATGAAACAGTCAAGTGTTCATTCAGCTTATCAGCTAATGTCACATAAAAGATACTGCAGCACATAAAAAGCTTCTACCAGCATTCCAGCAGTGAAGACCAACACTGCTTGAATCCTCTTTTTGCAAAATTGGTCCACAGAATAAAAAAAAAAAAACGTTTTCCAGATGCCTTTTTCATGCAACAGATACAAACATCTGCGAGCCAAATTCTGATGCCAAGTGTTCCCAGCAGAGGGGATTTTAAAGAAATAAAGAAACTAATTCTGCTTTATGGCAGTCTATCATGGTTAAAATTGCTCCTCCTGGTCTGTCTCTTAACTAATAGCCTACTGAGAAAATGTGGGGCTGCCCCCTCCGGAGGGAAGAGGTGGTTGGAACTTTGGCAGGTCCTTAGAAATGATTTCTGCCAGCCTCTGTTTAAAACTGCCAAGGGCCTCTGTGGGGGTTACACGGGTGGAGGAGCTGATGGCCTCCTCCATCTCCTTCATGTCATCCAGCGCCTGTGCCTGTGCATTGTACCCTGGCTGGATGTAGTTATTTACGGGGGGCTGGCGCTGGCGTCTGGGCTTGGCTGGGGCGTAGGGGACTGACTGGGGAAGGGTGAAGGGAGGAGGCTGGAAAACAAGCGGAAGGAGTGGTGGCAAGGAGGGCAGCGGCTGGGGATTCAAGGGAGAATCAACTATGTTCAAGTCAGAATAGATGCACTCTGAGTCCATCGCAGGTTTGAACTCGTCGTTTCTGATCAGAGGAAGCGTGGCTCTCCTTAGGTTGTAGTAAATGTTGCCATCCATGACATCATCCAGGTTTACAGCTTCCAGGGATTGACACCGCTCATCCTCGTCCTCACCGTCTTCCCCCACAGAGAGATGAGCTTCGGCAAGAGACCTTATATTTAGTACAGGGCGGTCATTGATAGTAGAGTAGTGGTCGTCAGACTCGTCCTCTGTGTCTTCAGAAAGGCCTGTGGGACTGTAGGCAGGGGGAGTGGTGGGCCAGCCGGTTGTAGTTGGGAGGATGACAGTAGACAGGTCACAAAATGATCTTCTGTGTGGCTGGACAGAGGACCTTCCCTCCACAGAGCACTGCTTTGAGATAACCTGGAAGATCTGGGGACCATGACTGGACAGGAAGGTGAACACTCCTTCTCCCGACTCACAGCGACGGCCTGCTTCTATGCATAATCCACCCTGCAATCACATCCACACATCTTAAAGGAATGGCTTGACATTTCGGGAAATGTGCTCAATTGCTTTCTGGCTGAGAGCTAGATGAGAAGATCGATACCGTTAGACATTAGAAGGGTATCCATCTTCTTATCTAACTCCTCTAACTGTATCCTTTTCAATTTAGGGGGGATTTAGGGGAATTCAAAAGTACTTTACCTCGACCAATCCAAATTTGCGTAAGCGCGTGTACGGCCAGCGATAGAATATGTGACCAGTATTGATGGCCAGCAGTATCACGGCCTCTTTTTCCAGGGAGACCAGATAGTCCCCAGCCAACTTGCACCTCCTGGATGCCTCTGTGCTCTGCACGGTCACTTGGTACTGATTTGGAGGAAGGGTCACATCTAAACATGGGAAGACATGAAAACATTTGCCGCTTGAAACATCAGCAGGCTGAGGTCAGTGCAGCGTAAAGGCATCGATTTTTTTTCTCCGTATAAGGTCTCTGAGCAGCAAAACGTCAGCAAGGGGAATAAATGTACAGCAGAGACACTCTCATGCAGAAAAAGGCTGATTTCAAATGGCTTGCATTCTGCTAATCTCTCTCTGTGACTGGGCTGCCGGGCTTTTTCAGTGTAATCCATTAGGAAATAAAAATAAATAAATGTGCATAAGCCCGAGCTTGCTGACGCTAATACATTCCGCCGTTCACGTTCGAATAAATTAGTGGCTTTAGCTCCTGCTCACACATATTTAAGTGTTTCTGCTGATGCCTTGAATTTTACGATGCTATGACATCTAAACATCCCCACAAGTTTCTTCCAGGTCTTTTTGCTTTATTATAATACTTTTGCCAATTTACTCTTAAGACCTTGTTTCAGGGTAATTCCAGTTTCTCACAGTTTGGGTCTAATTCTTGATTGCTCATAAGGGAGCACTGATGCGTCACTATAATATAGTTTGAGGGGGCAAGAAACGCTATTGTCCAGATAATCTGACAAACTGTAAAAACAGTTCATGCTGGTTTCTGATGAGAACCACTTCAGTTAGGCACTCGCCAAACCGATTAAAAATTATTATTTTTGATTGCCTGTTGACTGATTAGCTGTCGTCTGCCATTACCGGATTTCCAACATGAGTAAAGGTCGTTGTCCTCCATGGTCAAGCCGTTTCCTCTCTCGAAAGCCCCTTTGTCTGATTCCCCAGGATCCTTCTGTGAACACAGTGGCATGGTAAACATTACATGGAGTGTACACCACCCTCTTATCACCGCTTTATGACTCCCAAGAGGTAAGATGCAAGACAGAACATAGCTTGTGCAAGCACAAGAATTGGAGAAGTGAAGAGACAGAAGTAACAGATACTGCATTAACTTCCTCATTGTGTTATCTATCTCTGATTGTGGGGAATGTTTATTTTCACCTTTCCCCAAATTATAGCTCTGCTACCGAAACAAAAAAGAAAGGCTGCACTGATCAAGAAGGAGAGATGTGTGATACCTGGAAGGCCAGATGACAGAGGGCAGTTATCCAGTCCTGGCTTGTCGCGGAGGCCAGGGTGTAGCTGCACTGAGTGGTGTGTAAGTAGAAGGCGGTGCACCCAGGAGGGCAAGACTCCTTTGGAGCAGGGTCGACACTGAGGCAGTCGCTTAGACGCACCACTTTCCTTTCGGATGATTTCTGCCGACCGACCCTCCTCTGGTCAGCAGCAGCATTGTTGTCAAGTACAGTAAAGAACTCCAAGCGCCCCACCCCCGTGGAGCTGGGTTTAAAAAGCACCATCCATACTTTACGCCATGTTCTCTGTGGTAGATTACATAGAGGGAAATGGAAAAAAAGTCATTGTAAATAAGTCCCTGTATAGTTTATATTGGAAGTTATCAGGAGGTATGACATTTGTGTCTATTGTTATACAGATGACACACAGCTCTACATTTCTGCTCCATGTGATGACTCCTGCCAACATTGTTGAGTTTTTTTTAAAAATCAGTGATTGATGGGCTCAAACGTTTGCACAGTTGACGGACAATGCAGAGGTCATGGTTATTAAGAGGAAGGCCAGAGAGAAACTACTGCCTCTCACTTTTTACAAATTGTATTGCAATAATACTGCCTGTAAGTTTCAGAATTGATTGCAACATGCTTGTCCTCATATATATTACCTCAGTGATGCTGCATTTAGTCCATTCACCCCCCACCTTAGCCTTATTTTAGTCTTATAACAAAAGATTAATAGAACAATTGTCTAACCTGTAGAATCACTCATTGTATGTTTTGTCAGCTACCGTTTTTCCTATTTATTTATTACTATATTTCCCTTATTTTTCTTGTCTAATTTCTTTTGTTTCTAACATTTCTGCTTGTTTACTATTAATCTTTTATAGATACAAAGTTTATTAATCTAATTATATTATGAGTTAATATGGTCCTCTGTGTATTAGTCATACTGCCGTTTGCCAAAGGTGTTCCTGTGAAAAGCTAAACTTAGTTTTTGAGGGGCAGAACAAACCACATTGACAGGATTTCCACAAAGTTACATTGATCCAAAATAGCATTCACACCGTGGGTCTCCACATCATCTAGGGACCAGTATTGTAAGATATTCATGAATCAGAACCGCATCTTGAATGGGAGTTTAACACTGTATTCCTTAAATCTCCCATACGACCAAAATTAGGCACAGATACAATCCGATTAGCGAAACAGTCAGCTAACAACACGTGTAATGCATATGTTACCAGCCTTAATTATTAACTAATACTATATAGTATGGGAGGACCAATACCAGATCTTCACCACTGAAGTCAGTCTGAAGTCACGATCAGATTACATGAATAGACACACACATGGGTGGAGTAAGTCACAATGCATTTCCTGAATGTTTCAAATGTATGATGACGCGTTCAGATTTGGTTAAGCAGAGTCATCTCCACATTGAGCTAAACTAAAGAATCACTATGTTTTAAAATACAAGAAAGCACAAGGATGACTTTCCAGTTACCAACCCTCTTGGACATTTGAAAATATGTCAAAAAAAGACAATGCAGCTTCTTAAAAACCTTGGACATGCAACTTTGTTTGAGAAGTAACACTGTACTTAACTTTAATGTTAGTTTTTACTAAATGCTCAAAGGTTTTGGTAGTGCACTCATGGACCCCACTGTACTGTTGACTGAAGCTTGATATATATTGAAAGAGTAATCGTCTTTGCATGCAATGAGTTTTTTTCATATGCTCCGTCGAGACATAAAACCTCCGAAAAACATTTGTATTGCCAACTGAGCCTTTGCTCATTTTAACTGAGCAGTTCCTGAAAGCAAAATACCGTCACATATGTTTGACCGAGCTGCTCAGTTGCCATATTGACTTCAGAAAAATAATTAACTCGACAGAGCGTTCAGTTTCACAAGTATGCTGAATTTCTACAACACTTACTTTTCCAAACTTGACCCCGTGAAGATACAGCTTCCCTTCCTTGAAGATGACATCCATGCTCGTAAGCTTCGTCTGCAAAACCTTTCACTCTAGCTCTCTAGTCAAGATGTAACAAACCCACGGTTAAAATTAGTTTTCTACACAACGAGAATAATTGTTTCCTTTACGTCACCTGCAGCTTTCATTCTGACGTCTATATGTGTTGGTCTAAGCGATTACATGTCAAGATATCTCTGATCTGCGGAAGGAAGGGCACACAAGTTGTGTACTGCTGTTTTCTTGAGTCAAACTTCCCTTTCCATTATTCAGCTTGTTTTAGCAACTTCCTTCCTCCCTACAAAACCGGTACAACACCTTTATATTTATTCCAGATAGAAACGTAAAAGATCATCAACAGATAAAGTGGTTTTATTTACAATTGGAATATCAAAAATAACAACGGCTACGCATCAACAAGTATGACAGATTTCCGGCAAAAAAAGGTAACAAGAAAATTCATCTGACGGACCTGGAAATACACTTCCTTTACTCAGTGATACAACACACAGCTGTACCATTTCCTCAGAAAGGTTTCTCAGTTCCGTGCGACTCTTTTCTCTGATTAAAAAGAAACAAAACTCTTAGAAGTCCATTGAGCTATGAGCCAGGTAGTCTTTTCGCCCGATGTTGGTGACCTGCTTGGTCTGCATGGCCTCCAACTTCGGACAGTCTGTAATACGATGACCCAGACCACCGCAGAATGTGCAGCCCCTCTCTCCTGTGAAAACATGAGAATCGGGTACGTCAGAAAGGGTTTGCAAACGCTCCACGCTCCTGTGGATTTGAGATGATCAGAGGAACGTTTAGAAGGACAACGCAAAGCAGTTATAGAGTAACCCATATAGAGGGCGTGTAGGGCTAGAGAAAGAGATGTGAACTAGATGTGGTGTGAACGACTCACCTCCGATGTCCAGCATGGTCTCGTCTCCTGTCTGGAGCACCTGGAGGACCGGAGGAACCTTCTGCTTGGCCTCAACTAGCAGAGCTTTAAGGTCCATCAACACCGACTCATCTATGGGGAGAGACATACTGTTAGCTTACTGCAATTAACACGGACTAGAACTGACCACAGTTCTCTATAATACATCGCCAATATTCTGAGAATCAATACTAATAGACAGAAATGAACTAGATTTTAATGATTTTTGTCTTGACTGGTATTGTCCTTACCACAGCCTTTATTGATGAACGTTGTGGCAATACCGGTCTTGCCTGATCGTCCAGTTCTTCCAATTCTATGGACTGAAACGAACAATCAAAGGAGAACTGATGATTATATAATGTATCACTTTTGAGAAGGCCAAGCTGTATACTTGTGGGTGTGTGTGTGTGTGCATATATATATATATATATATATATATATATATATATATATATATATGCGTGTCCTCTTACCATAGTTCTCTATCTCCTCAGGCATGTCATAATTCACTACATGCTGTATAGCTGGGAAATCCAGACCCTTGGAGGCAACATCTGTGGCCACTAAGACATCTTTTTTTCCTTCTTTAAATGCCTCTATTGCTTTTGTTCTTTCCTCCTGATCTGAAACACACACACACACACACACACACACACACACACAAAAGAAAAGAAATCAACAAATATTGCATAAACCGTATCTTGCAAGACGGTGACAAATGGAAAACAACACAGAAGGGTCTGCAATACTTTCTACGCCTTGGACACGTTGATGAAACTTTTAACCAGAAATGGTGACATTTGTCAGCAGGATGGCATCTGGTGGTAATGACGAGCAACTACAAGACAGTTGATGTTTCAGGCCGTTAACATGTAAGCTCCCTGAAACGTGACGCTTGGTTCCTCCACATACCCTATTCATCTGCAGGCACTGTGTACGCACTGCGGTGTGTTTTTAGGAAGTACCTTTTCCTCCATGGATGGCCACCGCCTCTACTCCTTTCAGCAGCAGATACTCATGGATGGCGTCTACATCGGCCTTCTTCTCAGCAAATATCAGCACCTGTTGATGTGAACATACAACATTTTGTCAAATTTGACATGATTGAGTTGTGGATTTATGGATTTTTGGCACATGTCAATGTCATAACATGTGGAAGTACTGACAGGAGGTGGTGTTTTCTGGAGACACTCCAGCAGGTACACCATCTTGGCCTCCTCTTTGACATATTCCACTTCCTGCGCGCGCACACACACACACACACACACACACAGCATTTATTATTAAGTTCACACATTTTTTATACCAGTGGGTTTATAAATTGAATTCCCCTGACTTAAACAGAAAAAGGTGACAAATGAACATACCTGGATGACATCCAAGCTGGCAGCTCCGGCCCTGCCCACGTTGATGGTGATGGGTTTGACCAGCGCACTCTTGGCAAAGTTCTGGATCTTCTTAGGCATAGTGGCGCTATAAAGCAGGGTTTGCCTTTGTCCCTAGATAAAGAAATAACAACATTACAGGACTTTTGATGTCTGACAGCCTCAAAAAGTCAAGGCTTAGTTTTCAAGGCAAGATTTTCGTATGAAAAACACCCCTGCCAGCGCTTTAACAACCAGGATGATTTTGGCATCCATTGCTACAGAGAAGGACCTCACCTTGAAATAGGAGAAGATGGTTCTGATGTCTTCCTCAAAGCCCATGTCGATCATCCTGTCAGCCTCATCCAGAGCCAAGTAGCGGCAGATGTCCAGACTCACCATCTTCTTCTGCAGCAAGTCCATCAGTCTGCCAGGGGTAGCCACCATCATGTGGACACCACTACAACCAAGAGACGACACGCATTCAGGTGGAAAATGAACTCAAGCAGAACTTATTGCTATCTCTAAAATGCAGTGTTATTTGTGCATAGTTCCTGAGATGGTCATGTTAACTGCTATGAATTATTTCTGTAATGCATTATGTCTGGAATTTTTGCCTACTTTGTTCCTTTCTGAATGATTTAATGTAGCTGAATCACAACATTAGTTCGAAGTGAAATTCTGGAGAGAAGACAGAAGCGTCCCTCTGACTTACTGTTTAACGACCTCCATCTGGTCCTTGACAGACATTCCTCCGATGCAGAGGGCGGTGCGTAGCTGAGGAGTGCCTTCCTCCTCCAGCAGCTTGCAGTAGTACTCAATGATGCCGTGAGTCTGCCTCGCCAACTCTCGCTGGAGTGTTCGGGGAAGGGTATTAAAATCAGACATGCTTAGTTGCAAAAATAAATAAATAAATAAAAAGGTTGCTCACAGTAAATGCCATCTGTCTAAAGGCATTTCAAGCTGTTTGTCTTGTGAGTCTTACTGAGGGACAGATGATGAGTCCATACGGTCCCTCTCTCTGGAAGAAAGGCAGCTTCTTCTCCTGCTCCAGGGAAAACATGATGATGGGCAGAGTGAAGACTAACGTCTTTCCAGAACCAGTGAAGGCTATGCCGATCATGTCTCGACCTGACAGACTACAGACAAACCCCGTCAGTTCACGAACAGTTTACACGCACTTAACATACGCTACACATTTGTATAGTATATGTGCATTTCCTGTACTTACACTGTAGGAATTCCTTGGATTTGAATTGGCGTCGGATGCACGATCCCCTTCTTTTTCAAACCTTTTAGAAATGCTGCAAAAACAGTAAAGAGATCTGTTGCTAAAGGCTCTCGCATAGAAAAGACAATGTGATTTCATGTGTGGGAGAGGGAGCACGTTATAACCTGGTGGAAGCTTCATCTCCCTGAAACTTTTGATCGGAGGAGGGATGCCGTCTCCATCAACCAGGATGTGAAACTTCTTCCTGACGCGCTCATGTCGGGTGTTTGGCATGTTCAGGATATAGCGTGGTGCCTTCCAGCTATAAAGAACATTTACGTTAAATATAAAATTTAAAAAAACTCAACAAACAATGTTACTTTGTAGAATTCACTGTTCAAGAACATACCTTGTTTTTATGGGATCGTCATATATGATACCTTTGGCCATTTCCTTCACAGACATCAGAGCTAAAAGGGGGGAGATTTAATTAAAGAATTAGTTTTCAACTTTAGAGTATTTTTGATGAAACCGCTTTAACGTCTGTAAGTTCATCAAAGTGAATCTGATTAATAATGAAACATTTGAACTTCACAGCCTTATAATTTTACCTCTTCCCTCTGCGACGCTCTCAAGAATCTTCTCTTCCTCTTTCAGCTGCTTCTCCTTCGCTGACTCCTTACGGGCTGTAGACGCACAAACATACAGCAGGTGAGAACTCACAGACCCAATGTGGTGAAATTGAATGAGCAGCATGATGACAACAACAACAATCATCATAATCCAGAGTGGGTCGTATACCTTCTGCTTTTTCCTTGAGGTGCTGATGCTGGTCGAGAAGGCTGACAGTGGAGCGTGGGCCAAGACCGTCATCCTCGTCCCTCTGCTCCTCCCCGCTGCAGTTCTGGTCCTCGTCCACTGCCTTTCCTCGCAGACGTAACATCTTCTGTAGCTGTCGGGTACATATGTGGAAACAGAATGAGATGTTGGTATACATAAGGAAAGTCTAAATACAATTATGTTTTAAATAATGATAAACCTTTTATAGCAATGATAACTTACCATTTGGTGTTTCCTTATTTTGACGGGAACATACGGAACATAATCGTCGTCCTCTGATCTTTCTGAGCCAGACCTGTCGTCCTCCCCGTGGGATCTCTGAACACACAGTATCAGTATCAGTAGTATCATCTCTGGGTTAGTGCTCAACATTCAGCCACATCAGCCTTAAAACACATCCAGTGAAAGTCCTTCCAAGGCATGCAAAGCGGCTGGTACATTTGTTTCAGAAATATATACGCAGATCATACGTGTAATGGTACTAGAGATTACCACAATACATTTTCATTCTTACATATTATTTGGATGTGATCGATCTGTATACAGCAGTCATATATGCTGGCATGTGCCACATAGATGCACAGTATGGCAATAGGATTTTGACACAGATAATATTCGATGTTCAAACAAACACATTTATGCTCATGCCATTATATTATATGAATTTGTTTTATATACACTTCTGCAGGTGGTTGCCTAATCGTAAACGTTTCAATCAGCTTAATTAAGGGACACACCTACATCCTTTCTGACATCTGTACTTTGATTAGCTCTCATTTTAAGATTGGTTTTATCAAAGCTTTGGCAATGGAAGCAACATCTCTTTTGCGTTTCAATATCCTGTGATTAAGTATTAAACTCTTATTAAAAGGACTCAGTGACCTAGCTGTATATTTATGACAGGACAGTGCCACACACCACGTGAATCCCTTTCTTTAACCTGGTTTGGGTTGTACCTGCCCGCTGAGAATGGCATGCACCTCGAGGGAGTGTGCAAACAAAAAAAAAACTACTTTGTAATGATTTCTACGAGAAAGTGCTGTTTAAATACGATATCATCTTCTTTGTGGGGTTCATCAATGTTGTATTATACTCAGTAGAAGTAGAATCTCCTTGATAGACCTATGATTGGTCTGACATTTGCACAGTTTCCTTGATTAGGGCCGTTGTGTCAAAAATGACCCAAAGTATGCGCTGATAACCACATGATCTCTATTGATAAAGTTACAATGTGGATGCATTACAGGCAGAGGTATGTTTTACTATCTGCATCCACCTCCTTTCTCAGACCGGGATAGTGTTAGATGTATGAAATTCACTTCAACATTGTTTGATCCTAAGGTTTCTCAAAATAAACTTAAGAGGATGCTGTATTTGACAGAGGTGTTTTTTTTTTAACTAGTTCATCTGAATTCACTAAAAGCATAGATGTCACGTGATGACCCAGTTAAGTATAATATTATTTATTTGCCCTCACTTCTGCTGTCCTTCCGTTTACTGCTCGTCAACATTATTATGTGAACAGTCATATCATGAAAAGACTGCAAATGCAAGTAGTTATATTCAAAGCTGACTTTTAGGATAATATAAACGTCACCATTACGTGTTGACCATGAATGTTGTGGCACTGAAGTGTGCCTAACGTTAGTTGGTCGTTGAGTTTTAACGAACACGGTTTACATTCATACAAAATCTGATTGAAAGTCCCATCTTATCCACACATTTTAGTTTAACACTTTTCGTTGACCTGTTCCAACGACTTTAAATACGTCATCGATAACATTTGTGTACGTAAGCAGAGCACAGGACACTAAGCTAGGACACTTGGCTAGCTAGCTAACTTTAGCCAGGGCTAGCTAGCTAGCTAGCTAGCTAGTGTAACCTCATAACGTCATTGATAGTTTACGCTTAACTTACCTTTTTGGGTCCGTGTTCGTTCTCCATTTTATTTATGAATACAGTAACGTCCTCTATGTACTAAAGCCACGGAGCTGTTGACCAAATACTCACAGAATTCAATAAATATTCCTAATACACATGTTTACACAACACACGAAGCCTCGATACTGTACGGAACGCTGGAAGGGTCAAACCGTACGGGATGCGGCAGCCAAAGATTTCTAAGCGACTCCGCCTGGTGCTGGAGAGGCAGCTCGTGCATGGAAAACCAAACCAAAAGATAATCTTAGAAAGCAAACACCACAATTTATTTTTGTCAGAACGGTATTGTTTTTAATCTTTCGGAACGAAAGATTTTTCACAGTATAAAAAGTGAATTAAAAAAAGAAGAAGAAAAGAAACAAGCCAACATACACTTGGCTATTATTGATATAGTATAAATCTACATTCGAAACATTAAGATAATCTTCTCTAATTGAATATAACCTGGAAAGCATCAGAACAAAATCTCAGCACAGGTTCAGGAAAGACATGATCCACCTCAATGAAAGCCGTCAGCTAAACACATGGTTACTGGTGTAAATCCCAAGGCCCTTGTCCCAAAGGTATCAAGTCTTCAGTGATATTTCCCATCAAAAGATCATCAAGACTTCGATAGGCTAGCTGAGGTACAGGGTGCCACCAAGGTCACAGTACAGGAAAAAGAGTAGTATGGTTGAAAATATATCTCACACACAACCCCGAGAAACGCATGAAAAGGCTCAAAAGGGCCCTAAATAATCACTCAATATGTACAAGCATTGAAATGAACTGTGCCAAACAACGTGTGATGGTTCCAACGTTGCACACTGGTGTACCTGTCACTGCTGGGATATAGAGGTTAATAGAACAGTTAGGAGTGAGAAAACCGGGCTAAATTACTTCGTTCTACAGATGGCAAAGTGTATACTGGATATCACTATAAAAAAAAAAAAAAGATATAATTGTTCAAGATTAACACCAAGGGAGGATCGACAGCGAAGCAACAGACACATTTAAGTTCACCCAATACAGAACTGGGAGACAGTATTTAGATGCGTCTGTTGGACACATCATGCGTATTTGCATTGGTACTTCAATAGATTTATAGTTTTTAAGATGCATCCTGCGAGACAGCATATTGAAATTAATATTAGCATTGTTGGTGTACTGCACTGTCAAACATTCATGTTGGTTTTTATAAAAACATTAATTTCATACAAAACAACAACAGTGTAGCAGGTGGGTAACCAATTGTTTATCATTTCATTTTGGACAACTGATTACTAAATCATTTGATGATCATAATTAAATATTGAGAGACCGCTGAATGCACTGCAGTCTGTTCTTGAGTGAAATCAATGCAGTTGTTGCCTCCGCTGTCCCTATTGCTTTTTGACAAACGGTCTCTAGTGTCTGCTGCGATTGGTGTGTTGAGCCTGAAACTAGCGATACTGAATGTAATGCATGATGAGCACCAAATTAAACTGATTGGAATTCAGAAGTTTAACAACGTTAAAATGTCTCAGATTTGTGATAAAAACATTTATTTCATTTAAGGTAATTGTTTACATACTACATACGTAAGCACATGGATGCAGTGGATTCAACAGACTTTTTTTTCCATTTTTGCATCTCTCATTTAGTGAACATAGCAAAGGGTACAGTTGGCCTTGAGAATGATCCCTGGCTTGTCAGCCACAAGTTATGTTTCAGTCCTCTGAATGGAAAGTATGATTTTTGAACCAGGGTCCCTTGGCTTAGTAAGGAAGAGAAGGAATGGGAGAAGGCCTCAGGCCAAACAGGGCTCTACTGAAAGAGTTTGTGGTGTGAAGTTGTTTTTCTGGCACTCGTCCAAGTTATTGAGCTGCATTGGAAGGAACCTTTTTGAGGCTGAAGTTGGACCAATTCACTGCTACCTTCTGGCGAGTTTGTTTTGCAGAATCAAGGCAAAACCTAGAGGGGACAAGGACGGACAAAAAATAAAAAATAAAAAAATAAAAAACAAGAGAGGAGGAATGCACAGTTTTATTGATGCGTCAATTGTAAGCAATACAACAGTTTTAGCTCAAAGTGTTTTTAAACACTGCCATGATAAACCTACCTTTTGAAGTATTCCACTTCCCGATCACTCTCATCCATTTCTTTTGGATCGACATCTTTCGGGAGAAATACATCATCTAGGAATAACAAAGATTGGACATTAGTTACATATTAAAAGTTAGGAAACAATTGAATTTTTGCACGTTAAAGATAGTTTATTGTACCGATAGCACCGCCAGATTTTTCACCCTTGTTCTTGTTCTTCTTATTTTTCCCCCTGGCTTGCTGCTGTTGCTGCCCATTTGCTGGAACGGTGGGGTGAGCTTTGCTTTCTGAATCCTGCTCGGACCGACCTCCTCTTGTTTCTGTGTCACCTTTCCCCCGTTGTGCATTCGAGAGGCCACCGTTTGCCGCATGTTTAGAAAATCTGCCCTCCTCAGCTTTCTTGGGCCCATTTCTCTGGTTGTCCGCAGAGTGCTGGGGCTGTTTGTTCCCAGCTTTTGAGCCGTTAGAAGACGTTTCTTTACACTCGTTGCTTTTCTGCACGTCATTCCCGGAGGCAGCTTTGGTGTGTTTGTTGGAATTTTGCTCCGACACGGATTGCTCCTGTCTTTGCTGCTGCTTTTTATTCTTCTTTGTCTTTGCACCACCGTTCCCAGCTGTTGAGTTCCTGGGATCAGGGGCATCCTCGTTTGACTTAGCTGTAGCTTGAGCTGGCACCTGTGGCGAACCGTCAGATCCAGTGGAAGTGCATCTTTCTGGGGACCGAACCCTTATGAGCTTTGAGAGACTGGGGGTAGTGTGCAATCGCTGAATGTCCTTTGGTCCAGCAGGGACCCCTGATGCCGTGGAAGTGGTGGTGGTGCTGGGGGTGTTAGGGGAGGAGACTGTGGTTGTGTCCTCCCATCCATTAACCAGGTCCAGGTGGCTCTTAAAGGTTCCCAGTGAAAGAGGGGCCAAGTCGAGGTCTATCTGCTGCAGGTCAGAGGAACCATTGAGATGCGACAGTAAATGGTTGCCCTCCAACGTGGCCGCCTTCTTTGGGAAGTCATTAACATCCAGATTGAGGTCGTACATGCTAAACGAGGCCCGGATTGAGTCTTTTATGGTGTTCTTAATCTCTTCGAGCCGACTGGTAAGGAAACTGTTGACACGCTCGAGCTCCAGCTGGGGCCAATCAAGCAACCGACTGGCTTCTGAACCGTCAGGGAGGGGCTCGTTGTCATCGACAGGCTCGCATGGATTGGAGTTGGGGTCACTGCCTGCAGCACCCATGCCCTGCTGAGCCTTTTCCTGAAACAGAAATGGTACAGGCTTGAGAGACACGCAAATATATGCACTACGAATGAAAACGTCCACAGTTCCAGGAGGCGGACTGTAAATGTAGATATGAACGGCTCATTCTAAACTAACGAAAACACAACGATTCCAGTTTCAGGTGATTATACACGAATAAAAACATTGTAACGATGAATACTATATTCTACTTCTGCCAAGAGATCGCTCAAAATGCACTGGACCTTTCAGTTAATGCTAATGCAAACCAAATGTGTCCTACAGCTGCTCGGACTGAAATCAAAGGGATTACGAGTGTAAATCTAAATCCTGGCAATTTTACAATCTTAAAGTTCTTGTAGAGGTTATTATGGCTTCTTTTGTTAAATGAAAAAAAGGGTTTTTGAAGAATACATGTCAATTAAATGACATATTTAATAAAGTTGTATGGGTGATAGTATAAACATGTTTAATACAATACCCGTCCCTATACATTAGATGATAAATATTAAAATTAAAAAAAAAAAAAAAAAAACTCCCAAATCATTCAAGCATTTGAAAAGTTACCGCACCTTCTTTTTTTGTTTGTGTCGGGCCCTTTTGGCCGCCTTGGCACTGTTGACAGGTTTGGGCTCAGAACTGTTAATAAAGTCCAGCAGCTCATCTACGTCCCGGTTGTCGATGGCACCGGTCACGGTCAGTTCTGAATCCTGACGCTGAGGGAGCTCCTCTTTACGCCGGGTCAGACGGGAGCGGAGCTTCTCTCGGATCTCAGCGTAGTTTCGGCTGGTTGGTGCAGCTGGAGGCTGTGACCAAGGAAAAAATACACAACAGAATATTTTTCATGTTAGCTTTTCATTACACGTTTAAGAAGTATCTAATAGCAAAGGGAACTATTAAGTACTACTGCAAAAGAGGAGGGCAACAAAAAGTTTCAAAGTACCGCGTTGTGTCCAAAGAACTCGCAGTAGCAGCAGTCGCAGTACTTCCCGTCCTTCTGGTTGGTGGAAGAGGAGGCACAGGAGCTCCTCTCAGAGCTGCTGTCTTCATCCTCCCCCTCCTCCAGCTCAGACGACGGGTGGCACAACGTCCCGTTCGTCATTTTGTGCCCCTTACATGCTTGGTCCCTACAAAAACAAGTGACAATGACCCTCAGAAGGCATTCGTATTTCAAATCAATACAGCTACAGAAGCAATTCCATCCTACAGCAAAGCAATGTTGACAGAGGGACACTAACCTGCAGGCCCCAGCTGTCAGGTGGCCCACATTTGAAGTGGCCACCGTCCCTGCACTGTGTCCATTACACGGGTGGTTACAGCCCATGATAGACGTGCCCAGTTTGCTGTGTTGCGTGTTCACGGCAGGAATGTGGGAGTTTTTGCACGGGCTGGGCTTATGGACAGATGTTGGGCTGTCTGGACTGGAAGAGTTGAGTTTGGCGGTGGGGCTGTGGAGGTTTGGTACCAGCGGAGAGAAGGGAGCGTGGGCTGCCACCCCGGTGCCGGACGAGGACGTTACGTGGCCGTGCTGCCCAGAGTTCAGCTTTGGGGGCAGGAGGGAGGAATGCTGGGAAGACAGGCCAGTGGGACTGTTGGGGGGTACCGACAAGTCTGTGTGTTGATGGTGGTCACTGGGGTGAAAGGCTTCACCTGGATGATTGGACAACATGAAAATAAGGAATTAAAATCACACCTTTTTACGTCGTGCTTCAGTTTGTGTTCAGGGGTTTCATTTATAAAACTGTGCGTTTTTATAAATCTCAAATCAACATGTATATGTGCGCAGCTAGTCCAGCCTCACAAACTGAGCTCCTGATCGGTGAGTCTTTAAAGTGAACCATGGAGACTACCGAGAGGAAGTACACTCCTTCCCTCCTACTTCTTCCATTTACGTAGTCGTAACAGTGCCAGAGTCTCTATCGTGCAACACAACACATCACAAGTGTCACACAATCCTAATGTGCAAGTGGTGAAGATTTGCCAGGTGAGGTGACTGGAGAAGGTGAGTGACATCACCGCGGTGACTCTTCTCCAGTGAGCTCTGATACTCTCATCACAGAGCTGTTTACAGTTTGTCTGTGTACTGTGTGCTGAATAAATAAAGTTGTGTTCACTGCAGTGATTTGTACTTAGAAACACTTAATGAAAACTAAGATTGTACTTGGTGATATCTGCACATTATTAGAAGATTATTGCTCTGTTCTGCAGTTCTTGAACGCTATCTTATAGCTGACGATAATTTCATCAGCTGCTGCACAGCTGACCACGAGTGTCGGTAGTTTGTTCTCTCCTCTGCGCTCCGGGGTGCAGACAGCGCTGATAAAATATTAAGCGAAATTTGATTTGAGGTTTGAGTTGGTTGATATCTTTTATCATTGAAATGTGCTTCTAGTTATGGCTCACTAGTACAAGCACAAATAACACTGCTGGTTTGACTGTTAATGATAAAGAGAATGTAGAAGTGCAAAGTAACGTGTGATATGAAGTGAAATTAAATGTTAGAGGCATCATATCTGTAATGATGCCTCTAACATTTTATTATTAGTCTGGCTTCAATTCACCACCTCACCATCTTTCCCCTGTCTCCAAAACATAAAACATACGTACGCGTGGCTCAGAGATTACGTACAGGTGCGCACATTCTCCCGTCAAGTTTGTGTTTATAGATCACAACGTTTGCGTGGGAAGTGGCGTTCGCCTCTTTCAGACCGCCTTTTGTGCGTACGAAGCGGTTATAAATGAGACCCCTGGTCTTATTACCCGTCTATATACACATACTACCTCAAACGAGTAGGCCAGTTAATGCAATTGCCCCGATTCTCTTAGACGTAGGTATGCACTGATCCCAAAACCATATCGGGCCGATACTGACTCAAGTAGCTGGATCGGGTCACAAGGTGGCAGATTTATTCAATTCACTTATTTTTTTACGTCTTATAATCCTGCTCGTCTTCTTCCTCATTCTCTGCTCCTCTTCCTCATCCATGTACTACGTCATGGATGAGCACACTGACAGACCGCACAGCTGAGGGAGTTGTGTTTAGTATTTATCAAGTTTGTTTTCACTAGTTTGTGACTTAATTGGGATTAATGTTTACGTTTTGTTCTCATTTCATGCAGAATTTTAAGTCCTGTTTAAGTTTTGACCAATTTGTTGGTTAATTCAGGAGATTTAGACTTGAATTGTAATTCCTGTTCATTTTAAAGATTTGTTTTCCACTAAATCGCTGGTGTATAGTAACTGTTTGGGGCTGCCCGGTGGTGTATTGGCTAGCACCGTCACCTCACAGCAAAAGGAGCCCGGATTCAGAGTCCTCACTCAAGAGTCCTTTGGGTGGTCCAGAGGACTCTTGACTGAGGACTCTGAATTGCCCGCAGGTGTGAAAGTGCACGTGGTCGTCTGTCTCTATGTGTGATAGTTTGGACGCTGCATATTCGATATGAGATTGTAGACATTCAGTTTGATGGGTGGATTCTATCCTGGGTTCTGATTTCATGAAATACTATTGAATCCTAAGAGTCACAGGAAATATTACCTGGTGGTGTTGGTCGACGGCACATGGTCTTGAAGTGCTTGGGAGTGGTCTTACAAAGGTCTGCTGAGGTAGACAGGGGGTTCCCAGCAGAAGATCCGCTGGAATTTTGGGATGACGGGTGACTGTAGGGACAGACTTTAGTCCCCGACGTTTTAGCAGATTTCCCAGGTGCTTCATGAAGTCCTCTTTTCTCATGACAGGCTGATCCAGCTGTTATACCTGGAGAGGACAAACGTCCAACGAATTTCAAATGGTGGTGATGAGGATTTAAGACAATGCGAAAACGGTTACAATAAAGCCAAATTTCTTACTGCTACGAGAAAGAAACCAGCATTGAAAGAAACGTTTAGCCCTGAAGGTTAACATCCCTTAACGCTAACCAAATAGAAATAAGGAAGTAGTATTTATACCCGGTTAAACATTTCCGATGGTATATTATCAAGTACATTAGGTTAGCTCAGTTCTTATAAAACGTCAACCAAATATTTGTTTGATATTATTCAAGTTGAAAAACATAATTGGTCACCAGCAACCATCAACAAACGTGATTAAAACAAAACCTACCATTTCAAATGCCATCATGTACGCCTTACTTTCACCTACTCTCGTGTAAATGCAATTTGACAACATGGCCCATTCGAGTATTTGCTAAACAGCCTCTACAAAGTGTTTTGATTGGAGCCAAAAATCAGGAAGACAACAGATAAAAAGCAAAGATCACAGCTGACTGACAGGCCATGCTTCCCATTCTATAAACAACTGCCTTGCTCAGCCCCGGGACATCATGCGTCTCTGTTATGGAGAGAACATGTTACAGCTAGGTAGTGCTACTTTGTAATAAGAGTCCTATTAAACCACTGAACTGTCAAATGACAAAGTGATAATAACTGCAGTCTTACTATGGGATGGAAAAACCTCTTAATGAAACTCAATGCATCTCAATTTTGGATTTCCACATTTTTCCATCTTTCTTTATGACAACAATACTTCCCGGAAAATCAATAATAGACAATTTTATAATTCCATTTTAGCAGTTTTGTACATTAAAGCTGAATATTTCAAGAAAATCACAGTGTGTGTGTGAGAGATCATCACTTTTCACCACACCTATGAGTCGTCATTATATTGGAAAGCTGCAAGTTCAGGCATGCAACAGATGCTTAGATCTGCAGTTTTTGTAGCTCTAAAGACTTCGGCAGAATTGATTAGATAGAATAACTGAATCCAATACAGGAACATTTTACCAGAATAACTATACAAGTTTAGACAATTGCCTCTGCTTTGCTGTGACCTTTCCACTGACACTGATATTTGACTCTGATTAAAGCACAGCATGCAAACACTTTCATTTCTACGCAAAGCAGTCGGTGTTTTTCAATGTGAATTAATTAAAAAGGTGAAAAAATTAGCAATGTTTTTGTGCAAAATCCACAGCGTTCTTCTTGCTATTTTAGTCCTAATCACACTCTCTGATTTAGTTAAATCATCTTGATTTCAAAGTCTATTTTTCTCTAAGGACCTCAGGATGTAGAGCGTTGTCAGCTTCTACATGATGCCTCTTTGTATTTCTAAGATGTAATAGACCAACTCCTGAACAGAGTGGCCAAAATTGTATCACACATGTATCGCTAAGTAAGACAGCAAACAAGCCACCCGTAGAGCTCTGATTCTAGCCTAACGTGTGTCCATTTCACATGACTGAAACTTGAGTTTACAGCAATTACTGTCATTGTCATTAAATGTTTTCTGGAGCTGGGATGACAGACCTTGTTGTGAGTGTGAAGAAGTGTTGTGGTTGCAGTGTTCCCCTCCGTTGGTGTGGGCAGAGTTCCAGAGACCTGACAGTTTGTGGGCTGACAGGAAGGAACTCGGGTCCCAATCCACAGTACTTTGCTCCGGGTAACCGTTCCCACAGCTCTGGGACTTACAGGAGGAAGAGTGTGACAATGGTACCTGAATTAAACAAAAAAACAACAACAACAAATGGTTAATCACAGGGCTGTATACATCGGCTTACATTTGGCACCAAGTAACTACCAATATTAGCTTGTAATACATTGAAGGGAGCGACAAGTAAAACACTCTTTAAATGCATTAATAAATATCAGGTAAAGAAAAAACAAATATTAAAATAAAAAAATAAAAATCACTGCAGGGGACTGTTCCTCAATCTGTTCTGTTTTTGCACGTCTGCAAGTTTGAGCAAAATACCAATAAAACATCTTGAACATGTTCATCTGCATTTATGTAGAAGCAATCAAGAGACAGCAAAGGTAATAGCTGCTGCTGATACATATGCCACAGAGAGACACATACAAAATAAGCTACTTATGAAGAGGCAAAAAGTAAACTACATGTTTAAACTCATTGAATCCAACATTACATTGGACAGATATATTTAGTGAGTATGCTCGTGCAAATGCAATGCCTCGTAGGATGAATAAAGATGGGATTACCTCAGTCGACAGACACCAACACAGTTTAACCAAAAAGAAGTTAAAAGAAGTCGTGAAAAGGATCCAGACATACGACCCAAATCAGTCCCCTTTTATTTACCGGCGTGGGTTGCTCCTGGGTGCTCCGCCTCTCCTCCTCTTCCACACTCTTACAGCAGCTCTGACATATCCACAGAGGCACCTCTCCCAGCAGAGACTGAGACAGCGAGGGCACTGCATCAGCAAGCTTACGCCCTGGCGCCTCCCGCAATAAGGCCTGGGAGAGCGCGGGCACAGCATCAGCCAGCTTGGTCCCATGGCCACCGGGGAGTCCGTTCACCGAGCCTGCTCCCCAGTCCTTAAACTCTCGGTGGCACAGGAGGCAGCAGGTGTGCATAGGCTAGGGGGAGAAAGAGAGGATGAAGAGGTCGACTGTGGTTACCAGTTAAACACTAGAAAAATATAGAGTCCGATAGGTTAGAAGAAATTTGACAATGCCTACTAAACATAGTGGGCAATCACACAGCCAATTTGTGATACAAAACGCCCTCCAGTTAAACGGTTGAATCAACACCTCTCTAAAAGAGTTATGTATCATAGACATTTCCCAGTATTTTCTAGATATCACATAATTGTATGATAAAGTGATACCTTTTAGAGATAATCAGGTTATTCAAAGTTTGCAAATGCACGACACAATTCTGCCATAACATTGTAATATGTAGTTATGAGACTCGTCTAGACGGGCATCTTGCACATGTGGTATTAAATGTATTGACTCAATCCAAGCAGCAAGTAGTGAAGCTCAGAGGTCAGTTGTAAGGTTAGCTGGTCGCTGATGTGACAGTGGTCCAGCCTGCAGCGCACCAGCTTCTCTTTTAAAGGTTACCGTTCACCCTCAACTTAAGTAGCTAACGTTACTGACTTATCGAACGTTAGCTAGGCAACACTGGCTGATAACTGCACGCATTGAAACTTTGAACATTAGCTCCTGTCAAACTCCGATAGAATAGTGCAGTACAGCAACACAAAGAAGATTAACAGTGTAATAGAGTCGAATAAACAACTCCAACCCGTGTCTATTAGTTAGCTAGCCTTATTATTTACCCGTTATCTCGTTTCAGCTAACAAGCTAATTAGCTAGCTAGCAGCTGTTTAGCTACTGTTGGCTGAGTGGTTCCTGTGGATGGGTTCAAGTGTAGGCAGTAAGCACGTTTGCAGCACGTTAGCTGGAGACGATAGCCCGGCTAGCCCTCTGGCTAAGGTTAGCTGGGTGGATGGGCAATTGTAAACGCTGAAAATGGGACGACCCGTCCAGGGCACAATGTCACCTGTCCGGCAGAGGAGAGGGGCTGCAATGCTAGCCACACTGCCTGTTGGGGACGAGTCTGCTCGCTAAGTTGAGCGTGTTATTTATTTAATTACATACCACGCTCAACAGTCAAGACTACTACATAAAGATTGAAATAGCGTTCAACCAGCCAGCGGATGCATATAACTTCACCTCTGCAGGATGTAGCCACATAAAATAAAAGCACAATGGAGGATGCTTGGATTAGCAGAGAGGTGCTAGCTCAGAGGCTAGCTAGGTTTGTTTTAAACGCAGCGATTGGCTCGCTGCTAGCTAACCTACCTGGTTCGCCCTGGTAGTAGCCAACCTATCCAGCCCAGCATCTCCGCCGCCACCGTCAGCTGCATCGCCGGGAGAGACTGGGCTCTTCGGTGCGGTCTGCTGTCCAGGCGCAAGCTCCTTCTGAGCGACCCCTTGCTGCTTGCTTTTCTTTCTCGCCATTACAGTGGTGGTTAAAATACGCTTTGGCCAAGTTTGCACCAGTTTCGATGATTTGTAGAGCACACTTTCTTTTCTTTCGGACCTCAAAATGTTCTCTATCTCCTCCAGTCAAGACAACAGTCAATATGGCGGAGTACTGGCACACTCAGGAGTTCATAGGTTAAAGATACTGCTGGCAAAGCGGCTTCAGTCCCATTCGTAGACTACAACTGAAACCAGACTGAGGCAGTGAAGCCAGACGCCGCCATATTTAGTAAGGGCAACCCTCGCCTACTTTTTTCTTTAGCGTATGAACAGACAATTAAACACATCTTGCCGTTTACACTGGCTATTCAAACGGACGATTTTAGTATTAGCGAATATAATATAATATGATTTTATGCTAGCTAAATACGTATTCATCTTTGATATGAAGACATTTTGCTTAATGTGCACAGTCTATATTTAAAAAAATAAATATATTGGTATCGAAAGAAAATGAGATGCAGCTGTAATTAAAGTAAATATATATATGTTTTTTCAGACATTGGAAGAGGGGGAGAGTAAGATAAAAACAAACCTAAGTTTAACAATAGCACATATATAACAATGCAACTTTGTACAACTATGTGTGCTCACATGCGCAAACGGCCAGCTTGTATAGTTTTGGATTTGCATATAATAGGGGTAATTATATGCATAAATACATGTCAATATTGTTGTTAAGCATACATGTTTGAAACATAAAGGAGCTGTGCAAGGTGAGGGGGGCTTGATAATGACGTTTTACGTTGTCTGCCGATGCCTTCAAATACTTTCAGAAATATTAATATCGTAGCCTAAATTCACAATAATGACGAACCCATGGCTTCATTATGATACGAGATACATCTTTCTTTTACATGAGATTTACGTTATGTGTTTGTGTCATTAAGTAAAATTGGCCGTTTATTAAGTGTCTTACGTGCAACACTCACAGTAAAAACTTTTTTTTCTCAATGTCACCCACATGAGCACTCTCTTATTATATTTTACAGAAATAAACCAACAGAGTCCAATACTTTAGATGGCCCTTTTAGTCATCATATCCGATAAAACGTACGTGCCCGCTTTTATAATTACGATGGTAGCTCAAATGTCCGAGTTTGCGTGGAGCACGTGAACGCAGCGTCACAGTGAACGCTGTGTTTGGGCTCTTGAGGACTGAGGACGTAGCACAGACACACACACAGCGTTCATCTACTTCAGTCTGCTGACGCTTACACCACATTAGGTTGTTTACCCGCTGTTGTTTTGTATTACAACAAACAGAATAATAATGGACGGAAACATTTGCAACATCCAGGTGCTTCTTCGGGCTGCGGAGTTTCTGGAGCGAAGAGAGCGAGGTCGGTGTTTTTATGATAACTGTCAGTGTATAGGAGAGGAAGTTGGTTAACAACAAAATACACAATGAAGGTACTGTCACTATGAATGCAAAGCACAATGCATGTACACAATGCAATGCAATTGGTCGAGAAATCGCCAATATTGTTGCTGGGATGTTATGTTAGTCGATGTTTCCCATTTGACTAAGTGACCTACATTATCGGTCCCATCATTGTACTCAAAGGCGCCAATCTCGTCCGATTTGAAAATGAATCCGAGCGGCGGTGAACACTCATTACGACGAATGAAAGTGAGACAGGAAAAAAACACTCAACTCTCACAAGTTTCATTCATTATGCACACGCTGCAGACATTTGTAGTGTGTATTTCTGCTCGTGAGGCTGCAGATTAGTCGTATAATGGGGAATAGCTGGTGTTGGATGGCGCCAAAAACAAAACGCCCAGCTGATGATGCTGATGACAGCAGTCTGTCGCTTTTGTCTTCCTCCTCTTACTATTTAGGAGGAGATAATGGATCAGGCAATGGAGATAATTTGTAGCACCAAGGTTCACAAAATAAATGGGGAAACTTTATATTTAACATTGCTGCTCTTGAATTTCAAACAATTTCCTCACGAAGCTGAAATGCACTTTTTTTTTTTTCCTAAACAGAGGCAGAACATGGATACGCTTCACTCCTGCCTCTCAGTCCAGATCACCCCGACAAGAGGAGTAAACAGAAGAGCAAAAAGATATCTGCTGGTGGCAATAGGTGAATACATTGCATAACATACAACTGACAACTGGGTGTGGTTGTGAAGCTCCACTTTCAGTTCTGACATGAATCTTAAGCATGACGTAATTGCTAAGAGTTGTTATGTTCATAGCTAAACAAGCTGTCTGTTTCTGTAAATGCAGGTCAGTTCACAACGAGCTGGAAAAAAACAGGTAATTTATATTTTGTCAAAATAAATAATATGCATTTTTTTCGACACTTTTTATGGTAGCGAAAGTTAGAGGAAGACTACGCATTAATCATAAACACCCAGTTTTGACTTGCATGGACTAACAGCATCTGTTGTTGCTTGTTGTGCTTTGCAGACGAGCTCAGCTGAGGCACTGCCTGGAGCAGCTCAAGAAGCAAGTCCCGCTGTCATCTGACTCGATGAGGAACACCACGCTCAACCTGCTGAGACGAGCCCACCTTCACATAAAGGTAAACACCACACCGCCTAGTCGAGAGCGCAATGTTGGGACAGTTATTGTCCCGGCTAACGCGGGTTTGCTCACGGCACTCGGCCGGTGGCCTCCGAATACTTTCCCCGCCTCGTCCATTCGGTCCACCGCTCACTCGTCTGTCTCTCTGCGTTCTCGTTTCAGAAGCTGCAGGAGCAGGACGAGCGTGCGGAGCACCTGAAGGGCCGCCTGCGCTGGGAGCAGAGAGAGCTGCGGGTTCGTCTGGAGCAGCTGCAGAGAGGCTCGGAGAGGATGAGGAACGACAGTCAGGGGTCGACCATGTCGTCCGAGAGGTCGGACTCCGACAGAGGTACGTCAGTCATGGAAACCAGAAGGGTCTCACCTCGGTACAGTAAATCATAGCTGTGCTTTATAGCTCAAAGTGTGATTACAGGTGCAAGCTCTGATTTGTTTTGGATTATTATTATGTCACATTCGAACCACTGTGATCGTGGTCTTAATGGGAACTGGAAGTTCCAGCATCATAAAAATAACCTCTGTCTCCTAGCAAATAACACATTGATGTAGACTTCTCATTAACAGGAGTTTAGGATGTCAATGTTTTACCAATGTGTGTTGATGTTTTCTGAGCAGCATAGTTTGAACTATAGCTTGGCAATACTTCAAAAGTACAACTTATCAACCTTCAGGGTTTCCATGTGAGAAATCTCATTATGTTGATATCATGATTGCAATCATATGACCCAGCGGTAGTTTGTGAGTTCAATGAGACGAGTGAAGTTTCCTCCCACTAATGGATTTGATCCCTGCTTGGTCACCTTACAGAGGATGTGGAGGTTGACGGTGAAGGCATCGTGTTCGACTGTCTGGACTCTGACGGACTGAGCATTACGCACACCGGTGCGGACCACTGTTACTCCAGCATGGACAAAGCCTGGCTATGACGGCAGAGAAAAACCTACGGTCGCTCACGTCGTGTCACCGGGTGGACAGGAAGAAGAGGAGAAAAACATTCCAAAAACAAGCCAGCGCAGGACGAGGGACAGTGGAGCAAGATGCTACTGTACAACTGAACACTTTATTATTCATTTTTTAAAGGAGTAACTTTTGATATTCTCTTTTTAAAATATGTCAGACTACAAGCTAAACAATAATGTTCTGAATGAGCTGTGTTCATTTGCACTGAGTAGCAGTTAAAATCACTGGGCTGGGATGGATGTATGAATTTCCTGTCCTCAACCATTAGCGGCATTTACTTCCTCAGCCACAAGGTGTCTGTGACGACTCAAACCGTTCTACTAACTCATCTTGAAGGGCTTTTTATTCAAACCTCTTAACTTATTCTTTACTACAGTATGTATGTTTATACTGAATTCTGCCTTAAATAAGATCTGGTTCGGTATCCCATACGGCTTTTCCTTAGCACTAAGTTCATATTTCAGCAATGCCATGTGTAGCATGCACTTAAACCTGCGCTATTATTGTCCTATTTTGTAAGTTGTTTCAGTTATGTTTTTTTTTTTTTTTCTTATGTTGCACAAAAACCACCACACATTGCACTTGTTTTGTCTCAAAAAGATTGTGGGTATATCAAAATGAAAACAGTGAACATAAAAGAACTGCTCATGTTTGCACCTTCATGTCTGGAAATAAAGTTAAATGTGAAAAATACTCAATTAGCGTATTTGTACACAATTCAGTCTGTGATCAAGTGCAAGAATTTTGATGCCTGTATTTAAAGACGAGTTGTGAGTGCATGTGGAGAGTACAATGACCGTTTTATTCACTGCTTATACGAACTGGTCTGCTTCTTAGAGGTGTGCATTATAACAACCGTACACTTCATTGCTTGTGCATTTCTCACGTCAATTATGCATGCACCACAGTCTGACAGTTTGTCAAACTTGTAGTAATTGTGCAATTTATGCTGTATTACAGGTGTTTCATATTCATTGCCCGATATGTAATAACTGAAGGTGCTTTTCCCCCCCTTCACTTTTGTATGCAATATGCCTCATTACCTTTTAATAGTATGTATGCATTCATCTATCTCTCCGCCCAGTTATATAATGTAGCATTTTTGTACGTGTAAGCTTTTTTTTATTGAATAAATATTTTGTATATTTATGTGCCATTTCTAATTATTTTACTGGAGCTATTGCTTCACAATGATCAAACCTTTTTGCTTGTGAGGCCATAAGACAAAGTCATGGCTGACCCCTCTTCCGTTGAAATGGATTCATCCATTTTATTTGAAAAACAGGAAGTCTAAAAATTTGGTATTTAAGAATCTTTTTTTGTTTTCTATCCCATCCTGTTAATCATCTAGCTACCCCAGGTTGGGAGACACTAATGTAACTATACAGAGACATCACAGCAGGATTGTTACAAAGGAAATGTCCATTTATTGACGATATATTTAATCAATGCAGTAAGAGCACATTGTTGCATGGTCTGTGTCATCAGTCATAAGCTGAATGTGCAATACAAAGTGATTTTTGCCTTTGTACACACATTTTAAATTAAGACACTGAAGTCCATTGCAAGCAGATCTTAATATCAAAAGTGCAAAGTGAGTATTTTTCACCAAGCTATGACTGCCAACAGTACGGACCCTTCTTCAGTCAATGCACTTCAACTTGAAGCAATCAGTCTCGGTAGGGTGATTAAGGTGTGGTCGGGTGAACTGAACTAAAAGACAACATGATTGTCACAAAACATACAACTTAAGGAAATCAAACGCATGAATTTGCAGTAATTAGATATTAGCCTCAAGAAAAGGCCGTTAATAATAAACTATTATACAATAACGTGACATACTGAAAGGAACAGAGTAAAAGGTAAACGTTGTTGATGGGCACAAAGGTTGAGCAAAGGTCTGAGGAACAGTATCAAGGTTGGTTAAGTGCCATTATTACTTTATGGCACACAGAGCCATATTCAGCCAGTCCTTTAAGATCCCTATCTATGGTCAATACTGAGATGATCTGGTTTTAACGGCAGTGCGGCCAGACTGCTCCAGTCTGTACATTTTACTCACACCCTCTCACTTACGTCACTTTTTTGTTTCCATACCGTAGATAAGCAAATGTACACGGTACGTCAGTCTTCATGCGGCGCTTAAACGTTACAACGACTGAATGGTAGAATATATTCCAGGAGGCTGGAGCAGCCTCTTGAACCCAGCTCAGGCCTTTTTTATGGTCCACCCACCATTTCAGTACGTGGCTTCCTCACAGAGGCGTCTACTCACGACGGGATCCGTCTGTCTGAACCATGAGGGGTGGGGGTAAACCGATGACCTACACTGCTCATCACACATATTGTTTCTTCTGGGCCTGTGAGGCGAGGTCTTTGGCTTTCTCCTTAGCTGCCAGCGCTGTCTCTCTTGCTCGATCCGTAGCAGTTTCTGTTAAGCTTCTTGATGGCGCTTCACCTAAAAAAGTCATAACATATCGATTATAATATCGGTAGAAATATTTGGATACTTACGTAGTTCTAGAAGATTGAATCTATCAATAAATAATTGGGAATTGTGTAATAAACGACAGACACTTGCATACCATTTGAATTATTCATATGAATCAGCTTCTCTCTGTGTGTGTCAGTGACGGGGATTTTACCAACAAAAGTTGTCTTGCATATTTTGCACCTTTAGAGGTTCCCAACGTTCTCCTGTTATACTCCCTTTAGAAAGCTGTTAAGCTTCACCCAAAATGGCAGTGTTTTTATTTGACCGATATGTTTTCTCAATGAGCATCACACAGTTTTTCCTTTTTTTCCTCCACCAACCATTTGCTCATCTTGTACTTCCCCTCTGCTAACCTGAACATAACAGCATCACAGCAAAGCACAGGCGTTGCAAATAAAATAAACGATGGTTCGTTATAGCAATTAATGCAAAGCACTAATTACTGATGTTATTATTTGACAATTTACCTTGCATTTTGGCCAGCACATATTCAAAGCCTTTCATGGTCTTTGTAACACTGGTCTTGAACCTTGCAAGACCAAATTCCTGGAAAGAGAAGACACAAAGTCAGCTTAGACAGAGAACAATGTGTCATCAACGTATACCTCATATCATCACATACGTACTAATATACATTCCCAGAGCCTGAGGACAACAGAAGACCACTCTGATTCTGTCATAAATCATTCAGCAACCTAGGTCTTGGCAGACAACTGCTCTACCGTTGCATCTCAACACTGTGTATTGTGTTACCAACTCCAGAATGAAAGATCGGTGTGACGCCCCACACCACTTTCCCTGAGCTGCTACGTAGCGTAGCGCAATGCAACGCTTCCCTCTACTGACCTGAATGCCTCTAGAGAGCCCATAGACGTTGGAAGAGATCCAAGCTTCTCTTCTTATCTCTGTCCAGCTGCCATTGTCAGGGTTGATTTGGTACTCGCACCGCTCTTCCACGGACTGTGACGGAGAGGTAAAAAACAACAACAAACGCAACATAAGGTTGTGTGATTACGTTGTGCGATGCCGAGTGCCAATGGAGTCAAACATTGTGGTACCAAGAGGCGAGCGTGGCTGATGTTCCATGTGAGCGTGGTCATGGTCCTTTTCTGAGGGTCCACAATGGAGTCCTCGATGATGTATGCCTTGCTGGCCATGTGCTTGGGAAGGTAGCGCTCCATCCAGCGAGGAGCTCGGCTCGTTTTGGTCAACAGTCGTCTGGATTTGAGGCAGTTGGTTGGCGTAACCTCTCGGAAAATGATGTCCTCCGTCAAAACATGGTTACTGTGAGAGAGAAGTACAAGCTACGGATCAGGATGATACAAAAACACGTTTGTCATGTTCTTCAATTCAAATACATTAAGTTTTCATAATTTCAAAAAATGAGAAGAAATTTACATCACATTCTCAAAGGGACGTCTTAAAAACCAAAAAGTATCAAATTTACAATGTCATAAAAAGGCAACAAATACTCACACATGAGAAACTGAACAAGAAACTGTTTGATTAGATAATAACTTTTTAAAACAATTAAATCGATAATCAAAATTCCTGGAGATGTATTTTGTTATGGATTATTTCCTTCCTTCACGAATGATTATTTTCACTGTCGATCAGATGATTATTTCCTTGATTTATCAATAAATCATTTGTCTAAAAATGTCAATAATAGCAAAATATGCCCATCACAACTACATATTTAAACAGTTTGTTTTCATATCACAACAATAGCCAAACAATAAGTAGTTTATTCAATCGTTTGCCCCGTCGATCTATTAATGGACTAATTGTTTCAGCTGTGATGTTCACCTCTTCACTGCTGTCTGGGGAAACAGTCTACGCAACCTCGGTGGTGAAGGTAGCAACATCATGCTCGAAAAAAAATGCTTTCATATTTTTACTACAAAAGTATAAATATGAACTTTAAGTATTAAATAGTAAGATTACTCATCAGGTGAGAGAATGATGTTATATTACATCGTTGGACTGTTATTACTGACACAGTGTATCATATTTAATCAGCTAATCATATGTTTAATATGTAAAATCATAAGGAACCAGCACATGAAATGTAGTTGTGTTTAAGTATGAAGTACCAGACGATAAAAATAAAAACTTAATTAAGTAAAGCACGTCACAGCTAAACCACTGTAAACTGCTACTTAGTATTTCCCACCACTGTTTACCTTCATCAGTAAACAACTGCTGAGACATAATCTCATCTATTAACACATGTGCAATTTGGATAAAGAAGTTCATAAGCTAGATCCACCTCACTCACCTGTAAGGGTTGGGATATCGTTGCCAGAAAGCGATACAAACTTGGTCCCAGGTGCTCTTGAGCAAACCTGCGCAGCAGAAATACTTCACCATTGTTCCCTGCGTTTAGTCTGGCAGTACCCTGAGGAAACACAGAACAAACACATCATCGTGAGCAGGCTAATGTCGGAGGCTCGTGCAAACACACAACGTTTACTCAACCGCACTTTCGACGATTGAGGAAGTTCGTGTTTTTGTACTCGAAAGTGTCAACAAACACGACAACTAAAAAAAAAATAAAAAATGGACGAATTACGTGATGCATCTTTGTCTATGTAATACCATTACGTGGAAAGTAAATAAATGTGAGCCGTTATCAGAGACGTTTTACCGAACTGTTCAGCTAAACGCTAGCTTAGCTACATGACAGCTGTCAGTCAGATACAAAACAAATATATCATCATCTCACAAATACAACGCTGAGTCTTCTGGTACGTAACGAACAGACAATGTGTCTGACAGTATGAGTGAATACAGGCTTTACAGGCCGGTGAATCACTCTCCGGAGACTCCATCAGATAAACCGTTCCTGTCACGTCCGCACCCCTTAGCTCCATCGTTAGCATCACGAGCTAGCCTAGCATGACGCGAACCTCGCGAATGAGTGGCACAGTTCGGCCCAGACATTTCTCTGACCGACTTTCAATAAGCGAAGTTTATTTCAGAGGCAAAAAGGCGGTTACCTGTATGGCGACAGCATTCAAAAGATGAGTATCTGCATGTTGTACTCCGGTCGGCATGAACTTCCCCGTGCAGCCACCGACCGATCACGTCCCACGTGACTTGGTCTGAAGGGAAGGTCAAACGCCGACGACACTTCCGGTAGGTGGTGCCTCTGGAACACTAGAGGGCAGCACGTGACGGTGCAAAATGCAATACAGCGTTCAAGAGTATTGTGTCTACTCAAGAGTGGATTTTGATCAGAAATTTGGGGGTCTGATGTTATGTAATTGAGTCAAAACAACAGAAAGTGGCATCTGTAAGGCTCCTACAATCTATCTTCAACTCAAATGTAAAACACCCCTTACATTATTATGGTTAATCTGACTGTGTCTTGCTATTCTTGGAGATATATCCCCTTGAGCATGCCATACTTTGCTACAGAGGGATAATGTCTTATGCATAAAATCTTCCCTGAAAACATCTCCAGTCTGCAGCAAAATCTTCACACATTAGCTCTAATGCCAAAAGGGTTTAATGTGATGGGTCGAAGCTCAATGTTCGTCTGCTGGTAGTCCCGATAAAGGCTTGAGAGTTTCTATAATAATCTACAGTTCATAAAAGAATATAAAGTAAACATGGAAATCAGTAATGTTGGTGTCATGTTCCAGCCATACAAAACCAATGTGTATTATCTTTGCTGTAAAATGAATCACACTGCATAGGCCACATTTGTCTGGTTGTTCATTAAATGCTTTATTGATTATTTGGACCCACTTGTTCCTTTTTTTTTTTGCTCAAAATGAAGTCTGAATGTTTATGTGAGGACTTTGATTCACCTCAATGTTGTGAGAAATGATTAATTTCACGATATCCAGACTTTCCATGGATGGATTTTCCAGCCTTCAGGTTCAGTGAGTTTAACTTTATCTTCCTGTATTACATTAAGTATGGAGGGTACAAGTACCCCAACTACTACCCCCAAATGTTTTCAGTAGTCTTTGTATGGTGTCAGTTTTCAATACATTTTATAATACGCCACAATTTTCAGGTTAATACACCCAGACATGTTTCGACATTTATCCAAGCCACAGCTTATTTGATACATAAAACATAATTTCTCCTGATGGTCAACTCAACTCTGGGAGTTATGTTTGCAGTGGGGGCTCAATATATGTGCCCAGAGGCCGTGTGGTTGATTAATGTTCCTGCGCTCATTATTAAAAGACCACCAACAAAGGACACTTTGACAGCTGCGTATGGAATTGCATGTTTTGTCTTCTTCCAAATCCATTTTTTTTTAACAAATCCTCAAAGCAGCTGCCCACATTATACGAGAGCAATTTCAAGAACTTTCATTTTTTTCGATTGCGTTCCTTTGGACAGAGACCCCTGCTGGCCCATGTAATCAGGAAGGGCTGCTGCCAGGTGAATTGCACAATTGGCTTCTTGGTTGGACAGATAATAGCCTCCACTGGATTCCTTGAATGACGATTGAATGTTACTGTGAGCACGTTGGAGTGAATCTAAAACGCAGTATTTGGATTCATTAAGAGAAAAACGTCCAAATGTTTACAGCCACAATAATCACCTTGAGTAAGAACAAACACAGTACCAGCCTCAGACGATTTATGCAATGGACTGCATACATAATTAGACATCACTAACCAACAAGTAGACACATTATACATCGTACTGAGTTAATTAACAGCCTAGTAAACATTTTAAACATATATTTGAAAATCTTCGACAGATGTATTTTCACTAGTAACATTTACATAGGAAAGAAGAGCCTTACATTAAGCGATTGGCATGCAAAGCTTTGAGCCCTCTCCAGTCCCGTAGATACTCAAGATCAGGCCGTTCAAGTCAAAAGGCTACTTTTGAACCACGAGCACCACAAACCAGAAGTGCGTTCAGTGTGTTCAGTCACATTCTACAGGCTTTTTTAAAAATTGTGTTATTCTCATACAGCAGTCGGAGGTTGTCCGCCATTACGACCATTCAGAGTCAGCCTTCTTGAGGAGCGTGTCCTGAACGAGCCCTCGGGGTGGAAGGAATCTGGCTTATCCTCACAACGGAAGACCATGAGGAAGCCGTTCCTGTAGTTTTTGTTCATCCACCCATACAGGACAGGGTTGGTAAAAGTCGAACCCATGGCTATGATGTGGAACACTGTGTATATGAATTTGTACTCCTTAAACCTGAGCACCAGGTCCAGATCACTGGCCAGCTGGAACACATGGAACGGCAGCCAGCAGATGGCAAACACCACCACCACCAGGGCCAACATCTTGGTGGTCTTTTTGCGGCGCTTCATGCTGTCGTTGCGGCTGGATGGGCTGATGTGATTCTTCAGCTTGACCCAGATGCAGATGTAAGCGTAACTGATGATGGCCAAAGGGAGAATGTACTGTAGGAGCAGCATCGAGAGGCTGTAGATGACTCCGTCCCTGCTGGTCCCGTGGGGCCACTTCTCAGAGCAGACAGCGATCCGCAGGTTGATGGAAGGGATCTCTTCGTGGTGGTACTCTCTGAAGATGGCCAGGGGTGCTGCCAGGACAGCAGACACAGTCCAGGTGAATGCCATGATGAGGAAGCTGGTGTTCCACGTGAGGCGCCGGCCAAGGTGGAAGACGATGCAGCGGTAACGCTCCAGAGCGATGACAGTCATCGTCAGGATGGATACATGCACACTCACGGCCTGGGCAAATGGCACCATGTGGCACAACACAGCTCCGAACTTCCACTCATCTAGCAGAGTGTAAACCAGAGTGAAGGGCAGGCAGAGAGTGTCCACCAGGAGGTCTGCCAGGGCCAGGTTAGCTATGAAGAAGTTGGTCACTGTTCGCATTTTTCTGTAGCGAATAATCATGTAGATGACAAGAGCGTTGCCCAGTAGCCCCAGCAGAATGATTAGGGAGTATGCTGTGATCAGGATGATCTGGACTCCGAGGTGCTTGGTGATGTCAGTGTGGAAACCAGGCGGGAGGAAACCAGGCTGGTGCAAACCCGTGCTCTCGTTAAGTTGAAACCAGGGGTCGGTTTCACCAGCCGCCCCTTCGCTTGTGGTGTTGCATGTGTCTGATGGGCTCATTTTACCGGTAGATGATAGATTGATGAATGTGCCTACACCTGAGGAGAGAAAATGAGAATTGTTTCCGACACAAGGCAGGCAGAATAGTATTCCTAACATGATATGAAAATAAAGTACACCAGTCACTTGTCTTCACCAGGAGGGTGTGCCATGTGCCCATGCCTAGTAGACATGGTCCCTCACTTGCTTCCCATTGCTTTCGCTTGAACACCTGACAAATCCAGAGAGCTGCAACCTTGGTCTCCTTGGTGGCGGGCTATTATTTTGACCTTCTGAATACCTCCTCGCCCATTATCTCCCTCTCCTTATGCTGTACAATACTGTCTGTCATTTATTCCCATAGGGTCTCTTTCTCAGCAAAGAAAGAACTGCAACGGCTTTGGCAAAATCCAACCTCTAATGAAAATCTGACAAAACAGATCAGATAAACCTATTTCATTATCCCCTTCGTAACACCTGAAAAGGGTAGTTATCATTGTAAATGTCATACTGCTATTAAATCTATTTTGCATTCAACTTGAGAGTAATGAAACAGTGCAATTCAGGAGTTATAAGAATTATCTGATGCATGCAGCCTAATTATTAGAACAATTGCCCAACATTGCATTGAGGAAAAGCCAAGAAAAGGAAATACGCGTCTCAGCAACAGATGACGAGCAATAGAAAATCAGATGTCTTTGTACACGCTCATTTCAAACACCCTCTAAAAACAGACCATGTTGCTATCTAGAGCTATTGAAGATGTTTCCCCGGTGTCCTGGGTACAAGTATTTGTTTGGTTATAACATGCTGTTTTTTTTCCAAGGGACATAAACACCTGTGTCATTAGGAAGACGAGAGGCAAATGATGAGGGAAGCAATGTAATCAGCAGGAGTCAGACAGTACAAAGCTACATCATTAGAGCCGCCGACTGCTCTCATACACAGTCGGCATCTCATAAAAGTAATATTTAGTGGTATGCCTAGTTTGCGAAAGAAGGATCAGTGCTGGTCCATGTTACACAACCATATGTTAGTATCTCTCCTTTCAATACTTTCTTTAGGTCATTATCTTGACATTTCTGACAATTTACCTATGACAGACTGAGAGCTGAATACAGAACACTTTGGTCATGGCATGCATAAAAACGATCTCAATGTTTGACTCTTAAGTAACTGTTAAATCTCTGCATCCTCATTAATTAGATGAATGCTAATTACATTGAGTGGTATCTGCCTCAACCAATTTGATTGCTTGTCTGAATCAACTTTGCCCATTCAACACTCAATTTTGAAAGTTGTCTTCATGAATTACTGAGACAAACTGGAAACCATTTAGTGAGGTCATCTCTTTGGTGACAGACACCATTTGGTCGCTCTGGGGATCCTGTAGCGTTTTTTTTTCACGGACTATCAGACACAGTTTACTGACATCTTTGCTTTTTCATTATTTTATTCACAATTGAATATTTTACTGTGGAAAATATGGCATCAATTTTACTTGCTGCATTGTTGTGTTGCTTTATTGTCAAATCTATCTAAATGCTAAATAGATCATATTGTCCTCTCTGCAACTGACTTTAAGCAGCAAAAGGTCTCGAAGACAAGTGTGTATATTAGCATGTGTGTGTTTGTGTGTAAGTGATGTGTCTCTAAACTGGTGTACATTAAAATCATCCAAACAGTCTCTGGGTTCCTTAGGATTTAACTACAGTATAAAATGTCAGGTGTTTGGCCTAAAGGAGAGTAAAGTTATCATAGATATCAAATCTAAATACATATTGTGAGCCACGAAATGACGTACAGGATAATTTAGAAACCACAAGGACCAGATTGTGGTGATGGCATTTATAGTGTTGCAGTGCCAATTGACCACTGCCCGCCTGCATCCTCCGTCAGAGCAGAAAGTCACACAGTAACACCCAGCAGAGATTCACCAGGCAGACTAGCGACATGTAATTTGTCAGAGCACCCTTTCTGATCGGCGATGGTAATCCATGATTTGAGGCACGCTCGTGCCACTGATGAATCAGTTACCATACACCTGCAGGAGCAAAATAAATAACTACAAACAATTTAACCAGATTGTTGTGAACTCTACGCGCTGACATCAAATTAGGAAGAGATATCCAATTCCCAATCAGATATGCATTGATGCTTCGGTCGTGCGTAATTTGTCGCCACTTTGATTTACTGAATAGCGCGCATTTAAATGTCTCCAAGTGAGCTCTCAAGGCTTATTCAACCAACTAGACAGGTGCAAATCGTTTGCCTCCAACACAAATAGTCAGTACGTAATTGGGACACTTTTCAAATGCTACTCTCATATCCAAATTACGCACATATAGGCTAACAATTTCAGTAACTACACGTTAAACTGCGCAGAAGAACAGCATATTTCATTTCTGTCTCCTCCGGGATATACAATTTTGTCATTAAAGTAGCCTCGCAATATTCATTTAAAGTGCAAAATGAACGATATGCACACATTAATGGACTCACCTTTCCCACTATATCTCCTTTTGCAAACGGGTCTTCACTGGAGAGCGGCGTGAAACAAAGCTGTAAAATCCCGAAGCTCCTCCCAAACTGTGGTGCCTAGTGCGCATCTTGTGGCTCGACTGTGCGTTCCTGAGACAGGTTCTACAAAATCTGTGCCAGGGACCCTCACCAGAGATCTGCGCTTTGTAGATCACTTTTTGGTATGGGGCATCTGTGTATACGTTCTCACCACTGCATTAGACATTCAAGATATTTGATTAAATATCAGTCATTTAAAGTGCCAACGCATTTACGTCACCGAGTTCTCATTTTGTTATTGATTTCCATTTAGTATTCACTTTATTTCCAGGCAGACATTCCATGCTATTTCTTCATCTTCAAGTGTATACAACTTTAAATGAACTTTGGAACAATTTAGGATTGTAAAGCAAATCCTCATATATTGCTTTATTTGAGGCTCCACCTCACACCTGATTTAATTTCAACAATCACATGAGCAGCAATAAAACTAAACTGTTGTGTTGTTGTGCAACAAGCCATTGCTTGTTAAATGCACGATACAAACACAGTTAGACTTAGTTGATTCCCTGGGAAGACAAGTTCATCTCACAAGCTAATTTATGAGAGCTCCCATGACGACCCGGAATGCTTTATTGAAGTGTGGTGTACTTGAATAGGGTTTGGTTGGGAATTCAAATCAGTATTTTAATATTCTGGGTGTCAGTCCCCTGATTGCATTCAACTCCTATGGGGTTTAAATGAATGAAGTTATATTGTGTGCCTGGAGTAATTTTTTCTCATATAATGTAGCAAAGCTTGAGGTTTGTGAATAGATAGCGGTCAGGACATTTGTCAAGGCTGATTTTGGTATTGTGCACAGTACAGGACATTTCCAAGGAAAGTACGACAGAAATCCTTACTTGCCACGAAGCAGTTACCTTGAAATAGATGTGAAGAGTCTTGAAAAATATTGCAGCAATAAGACATAAAGAAATGTAAAAAAGCAATTCACATGTATTTGCAGCTCCCATGACTCTCTTTGAAAAGAGTTAGCTTTGTCTGACCTGATGATTGGAATTTATATTTATTTGGAATTATTATTGGATTGAGATTATAACTATAACTCATAGAGAATCCCAGAGAATGCTTTGTGATTTTGATAACAGAACAGGATGTCTCCCTTGAGCCTTGTCTCTGCATTACCCTGGAGCTGTTGAGAGTTACCTTTCACCATCCAGCTCAGATTTACATTTTATTGGATGGCGCAATAATTATAGTGCAATGATTGACTCAGCAACAAAGATTTGCCTTATTGATTGGGGCAGGCAGCCTCTCCCCCCTCAATTTATTCTTTCAATTATGGGAGCCCTCTCCAGAACTTCATTTTCACTGGGTCACTCGGCTGTCGAGGTTGACAGTTCCTTCAGCCTGACTTGAATGCCTTATGGGATTTATGCCCTTGCCACAAGCTTGCTTATCTCTCCAACTGGCTCTGAAAAGTAGTGAGGAGGTTTTACAGTGTAGAATATTATTGTATTGTGTCAGTTTAAATTAAACCATCGTTTTACCGTATAGGTCTTTGCATCTTCATTTATCTACCTGCGTTCATATTAATCTACATGGTTAATCTGTAGGGCTCCTCTCCATACGGCCTAGGATTGTCATGATCCTCTGCTCTCATCTGATCACTGATCTGATGCCATAATCAGAGACCGTGGTGTCCTCACGTTGCAAAGCCACACGCTGTTGTTCTTCCTGTTTCTCTCTCTCTCTCTCTCTCTCTCTCTCTCTCTCTCTCTCTCTCTCTCTCTCTCTTTCTCTCTCTGTGTCTCTCTCTCTCTTTCTCTCTGTCTGGTTGTCTGTCATTTTGTGTGTAGGCTGTGTGAATGAATGAACATGGCATACAAAGTGAGAAATCATTCAAGCCTTTTTGCTCTTAGTGTGTTTCATGTGGAGACTGTTGACCCAATGCACATAACAGTGTTTTCCTTCTTCAGTGATGCAAAATATTGATTTAAAAGGATGGACTGTGAAGTCTGCAAATGGAAATCCTGAGGTTAACATTTGTGTGAGATGCTCAATCAAATTAGGTGTCCCATTAAACCTACCATGAGGTCATGTCCTCTGTATTGTTTTCAGGGAATATGGAGGTTTTAACAATGAGACTAAAAATCAGCATATCTTCATCTGTGCTGCTTTGACTTCGTCCAATCTTTTTAAAAATCTATCTCTTGTAAGTCTGACAACTTTATGAAAGTGCATACTAAATTGCTGGAGTGGTCCTTTAAATCATATGATGAATAGATTTAGTATTTCTCCAACAGAATTATAGTCTCGAAACATACCGCTTTGAAACAGTTGTGGAATAATGTAGAGGGATACAATTGATCTGTTCAATTGATCAAATTAGAAAACAATCTGAAAATATTCAGAATATAATGGAAGAGGTGACTGGTTTCTGCACATTTGTAGCAAGTTAGTGGGGAAATGTAGCTTTTGTTCACAGTAGTGTCAAAGATGCTCTCTAACTATCTCTGGCAGTGTTCAGTGCAAAGTGAAACAGTAATGAGTGAGGTGGAGAAGAGAAAAAGTAACTGCATTCATTCCATAGACTGTAAGAATAATGTCCTTACATCCTGTTGTTTAATGTGAAACAAATGGACCAATCAAAGGTGCGTTTGTAGCTGGCACATGCGCAGTACGGGTGTACGTCTTGTTCCAGTTGAGTCGAGAAAGTACAGAGCAAATGGAGGGACTTTGAAGTATTCGGGCACTCATTTCTCCGAGCAACAGACAACGTAAGTTCATGAAAGCGTTAACTAAACGTTTATTAAATTCACCATGTCACACCTTTTACATTTGTGTTGCTTAAAGACGCGGTGTACTGGCTGCTACACGTAGCTAAGCGCTAGCAGTGTAAAAACAAAACAAAACATATCTGACCAAACCTTGCTCTGATTACGAGCTGGTTCATAGAGTCACGTGATGCATCACACGATTCCTTCCTGATTAAGATGTCCACTTGAAGCGGCTGTCGTTTCCTCTTGAAGTTGAAGCATATTCCGAGTTATTTGCGTTTGATGTGCTGTCAGTGTTGTAGCTCAGAGGGGAGGGGCTCAGCTCACTCTGCTGGATCCAGAATAACTCCATTATGAACAACAGGAAGCTGTTGCTGTGGAGTGTGAACTTTGTTCTTATTTTCATTTTAAATTTCAGCAGACTTTAACGAAGAGACGTCACCCTGCAAACTGTCCTCACAAAGGGAGTGTTTGTCTCTCTCCACCAGGCTTTTGCTTTCACTTCAGCGTGGACAGAGGAAAGCTTCTTCAATATGGCTGCTGCTGCTGCTGCTCCTGCTCCATCCCCCAAAGGCAGCCTGAGAGAGGACCTGACATGTGCCATATGCTGCGACCTGTTCACGGAGCCCGTCATGTTGGGCTGCATGCACCACTTCTGCAGACCCTGCATCTCCAGGTACTGGAGAGGAACTCAGGGCCCCGTGACCTGCCCGCAGTGCCGCAAGGAGTTCAGCTCCAAGCAGTTTCAAACGAACTACCTTGTGACCGCCATGGTGGAGAAGGTCCGGGCCACCACCTCGGACACTTACATCAAGAACCTAGAGGTGAGTTCAGACCTCCACGGATGCTGCTGGCTGCCTTCCATGCCTTCATTGCTTTACTCTGGTCATCTAGAGAGTGTTATTAAAGTGTTTGGTAATCATGTACAAATAACCTTATACTCCAAAGTAAACCGATCGATTGAAAATGAGCATTCTGTTGTGTAAGTTGAACACATTTGTATTCTATCCGTCAGTCCACATCCGTGTTCATTTCACTGTAGTTCCGCCCTCAACACATATTGCTTGAATGGCTCAGGGCAAGGTTCACGCTCCACTCCCTTTTATATTGCTTTGTATGGCAAGATATGTGACTTAACTCCAGCAGGGGAACCACTATACAGTACAATGCAAGAACAATAAAACCAACCAGACGAAATGCAGTCACAAAGTCGCTCTTGTTATTAAATGTAATTGTTTTTCATACTGTGCCAGAAAGGTGTTTATTTAACTTTATGGTTGTTTCTTTAAAGAAATAGTTTAATTTTGGAAAACATGTTTATTCACTGTCTTGCTGAGAGTCAGATGAGACGAATGATGACACTGCCACTAGTAAATATAAAGCTAAAGCCATAGCTTAGCTTAGCATAAAGACTGAAAACGGGGGGAAACCGTTAGCCTGGCTCTGTCCAAAGGTAATGAAATTAACCCACCTACACTTCCTAAAGCTCACTAATTAACATCTTGTTTGGTTAATCCATCCAAAAACAACAAGGGGTAGTGTTAAGGGCCTTTTGTGTCAGACTATTTCTCTCTGTAGACTCTGCTGGATGACTGGCAACCTCATGGAGACTTCAGGAACTTGGAGACTTTTGTGCTGTTGTTGCACTAGATTGCATTGAATTTGTAGGTGTTTCCGATATTTTTGCTCAATCCATACTGAGGTTTATTAGACGTACATCTTTCAGTAAAATGGCTGTTTAATGCAACAACAGCACGATCCTCAGAACGTACCATCGAGTTGACTCGACGCACAAAAAGTTTCAGTCTCGACCGAAACTGAACATTTGAAGGTAGCAGTATTTATTGCAGGGCTGTGTTTCTGGTCACTCAGTATTCAGCATGTTTACAGTTGTTTATGAGTTCCTTGACGCTCTGCTCGGTCTCTCTCTGCGCGTTGTTGTTTCTGTCTCCACACTGATTTGATGTGCATATTGCTGTACAGAAACAACTGAAAGAGACTTTGGAGAGTCATCGCCTGAAGAGGGAGGACTTCATCAACAGCATTCGCAGAGACAAAGACAATACGGATACCATAAAGGTACACTCGTCTGGGGAACTCGAGGGGGGGGGCAGATAACAATGCACATGAAACTCCCTAATGGCTGTTTGCAATATGTCGTAATGTGTATATATAGTGATGTTTGCAATTGGCGGTAAGTGACACTTTGTGCTTTGAAATGTAAAGCATAATGGTCTTGCGCTTGGGTGCATAAATGCCTTTCTAGCCTCTGACTGTGCGTTAACTATGCATAGGCAATCCATACTTTACAGTCTTATTCCTACATGACCATCATTTGCTCCAGCAGAAAGACCCAGTTCATCAAACAAAGCCCTTTTTAATTAAGCGTGTAATTGCTAAAACAAGACGCATTACACCGTGTGACAAACGGTCACAGAGGCGATAGAAAGATAAAAACATCTCGTTTGTGTGAGACAGATGGAGGATAAGCGCTTGAGTTTACGAACAGGAAATCCCTCCTCGCTTTAACAATCTGTATTTGTTTGACACGTAGATCTTTGATGCAGAGTGTAGCTTCATTACCACTCGTTTCTCTCTCTCTGGAGATGTGTACTCTTGTGGAAGCTATGCCAGAGGGTTATTGGAACCAGCCAACGGCAGCAAGATGCTAAATGATGTCCTCCACCTTGTAACATCCGCCATTTTTTCCCCCCCCGGTCTCAAGAGAGTCGGAGCAGATCTGCAGGCTCACGTCAAAGGGGAATTCAGAGCTCTCCATCAGATCCTGCACGATGAGGAGACCTGCGCACTGGAGCAGCTCAGCAGAGAGCAGGAGCAGGAGCTGGAGAAAGTCCAGCGCCACCTGGAGGCCACGGAGCTGGTGGTGCGGGAGCTGGAGGATAATATGAGAGTGCTACAGCAGGCCAGCGCTGCCCCTGAGAACATCATGCTAGCTGAGGTGAGTTTGTCTGAAATGTGTTGATGCCTCAAAGTACCTGTGGATGTGTAGATGTGTTTTTTATGTGATTTTTTTTATTTATTTTTTCTCTTTTCTTTCATTTCCTTCTCTCCAGCTCCCACAGCTGAGGTAAGTGTCCATTTCGGTGTTATGACTGACTGATTTCTACCTCAATTGAGTGTCATCTGTGCTGAGAATGAAGGACCCTCACTAAACACACTCCCCCCCCCCCCCCC